ACGGTTAGGCTATTTAGGGGTTAACAGTTAAAAAAAAAAGTTTTAAATAGTTAAAGAAAACTTTTAAAAGTAAAAAGAAGTTTAAAAAAGGGTAAAGCAGGGGTTCTCAACGTTAGTCCTCAGGACCCCCTACCAGTCCAGGGTTTAGGGATTACCTGGGTGTGTCTAAGGTGTTTAGAAAAAGAAAAAAAAACACCTTAGAGTCTAAGGTGTTTTTTTCCCTTTTTCTAAACACCTGAGACACACCCAGGTAATCCCCAAATCCTGGACTGGTAGGGGGTCCTGAGGACTGGGTTGAGAACCCCTGTGGTAAAGGCTAGCGAAAAATTGATATCACGCTAAGGTTCAAAATATGCCTTCTGAAACACCCTGGGGTGTCTTCTTTAAGAAAGGGTATGTCTTTGTGTGGTACTTGGAAAAAATAACCTGCTAAAAAAAAATTCAAAGTGGGGCATGGACCCAGCATAAAAATTCAAACTTAAATGGCTGTCTTAAATGTACCCCTTCAATGTTTGTCATATACCTGGTAAAGGTACATATGGGGCCACTGCTGTACTCAGACGACATAGCTGAGCAACATATCAAGTATTATACTGCCGTAGCGCACATACGGTTTTCAAAATATACAGGACAAACTCATTGTGTGTGTCAAAAAAAAAGGCAGAAAAATGCTTATTACCAAAACACTTGGTACAGGCTAGCGGAAAAATGATCCCACACCTAGGTTCAAAATATGCCTTTTGAAATACCCTAGGGTGTCTTCTTTAAGAAATTGAATGCCTTTATGGGGTAGTTGAAATATGTAGCCTGCTAAAATACACCAAAATGGGATATAGACACAGCATAAAAATTCAAAGTTTGAAAAAAAACTGGAATGGCTGTGTCTCAAATGTGCCCCTTTAACGTACACATGGCACAAGCTAGCAGAAAAATTATCCCATGCCAAGGTTCAAAATATGCATTTTGAAATACCCTGGGATGTCTTCTTTAAGAAATGGTTTGCCTTTATGGTGTAGTTGTAATATGTCGCTGAAGTGCTCCAAAATGGAACATCAAAACTGTAACGGACCGCCTTGCACCCCGACTGGGTACATCCGTTGAAAGATGCTCCTAGCGCTTCCTGAGGGCTCCAAGCACTCCAGCAGGCACCTCCAGACACTGGACGACACTCGGTCCTGGGAACTCTGGAACCTCATTGGGAATTAGCTCTAGTCCTTACAAGGACTTTCCCAGTTGAATCTCCTGCAAGCTGGAACAGCAGACACAGGAGCAAATCATCTTCCCTCCAATAACTGGACGACACACAGTTTTGGAGTGTAAACAGGAACAGACAGAGCTGTGGTTTTATTGTTTCTTATATACACATTTTTACACAATGTTGCCACCCACATGGTTTTGTAGCACAGCCATTCAAATACACTATAAAACAGTTAAACACTCCCAGTCAGGACAAACAAACCCTGCCCTCTGCCTGTGATATAATTACTGTACACAATGGATTAATGTAATCACAGGCAGGAAAATACAGTTTTTACACAATTCTTATAACTTCTAAAACATACATCCAATTTCCATGAAGTTACATATTATTAATAAGCACAGTTCAAATATAAACATATCCAAAATTCAGACAATTCCCTTCAGTGGTTAAAAAGTTAGTTGGAAGTCCTTTTTGACAGAGGAGGGACAAATCAGCCAGTTCCAACTGGTCTGGCAGGGTCCCTGGGACAACGCCCTGCTGGAGAACAATGGGGGGGGGGAGGGTGGGAGGCACACCTTCCCATGGATTCAAAGGGGCAGAAAAAGTGTCCCAAAATCCAATAAGCCCAAACAATGTTTATAAAAGGCAAACTCTCCCAGGGGCCATAGTCAGAAGGTAGGAGGCGGGCAAACAGGCCCCTCCAGTGGCGAGGTCACTTTCGTCACAAAAACCATCTATGAAAATTTACATTTAAAGACCTGAACTTGCCACATCTCTTTAGCAGCACTGTAACCTCACAAAATGATGTCTAGGTTATACATTGGGCATATTGTTTTACTCTGAAGATGTAACGGAGCATAATTTAGGGGGTTTTATGACAGTGGCACATATCAAGTGTAAGAAATACAACATGTATGTAAAAAATGAACACAATATGGGGTTCTGTACAGGAATAGCACAAACCAGCTTTGCAAAATACACATTAAAAAAACCTTGCTATTTGTGTATATGCCAAAATAGAGAAAAAAGATACAATATAACTCCAATATTTAGCAGAGATCAGCGATGAAATGGCTACGTAAAAGTGTCAAACTAAATAGCCTGTGATATCTACTTTATATAAATATATACTTTTGTGTGGCAGTTTTGTTTTTTGTGATGACTACTAAATTTAAAAGACAAACATCCCAACTTCTAAAATGGTTTAAAATTGAAATTTTATTTAGTCCTTGTATTTTGTGACCTGTAACTTTCAAAAAAGCTGAAATCCTATACATATTATGCACAGTACAAATCAAGACACAATTTAATTTATTACTTTTCCAAAGCTGGACATGTTATGCACAAGTTATTATTGCCCAAAGTGTGTGAAAATAAAGTTTTTTTTATTCATCCACATATGTATATGTGACATCAAATTAAAGTCCTTGTCCTCTAAAACACGGTATATATGTGTTGGTGCAATAAATGAGAGAGATGCAAATTGCGGTTGAACACAAACAGCAAAAATTGCAAAAATTGCTTGTGTCCTTAAGGGGTTAGTTATACAAACTTAATACATATGAAGTTTGCTTTACTCCAAGCAAGTCACGGTTATCCATCTAAAGCTTAGAACTTTTTGATTTTCCCCTGTCCCATTTGTATGTATGTCAACTAATTAATAAAATTTTATGTTAAAGGGACACAGTCACCAAAACAACTTTAGCTTAATGAAGCAGTTTTGGTGTATAGATCATGTCCCTGCAGTCTCACTGCTCAATTCACTGCCATTTAGGAGTTAAATTACTTTGTTTATACCACCCTAGTTAAACCTCACTGCATGCTTTCCTAAACACTTAATCTAAAGTTTATCCTTCCTTTATTGCAAGTTCTGTTTAATTTAAATTTTATTATCTCCTGCTATGTTAATAGATTACAAGACCCTGCAAGAGTCTCCTGTATGTGATTAAAATTCAATTTACAGAGAAATAGATACAATTGTTTAACCCCTTTAGGACACATGACGGAAATATTCTGTCATGATTCCCTTTTATTCCAGAAGTTGTGTCCTTAAGGGGTTAAGGTAAATTACATCTTATTGAAAGTGAAACCAGTTGTTATTTTTCATGCAGGCTCTGTCAATCATAGCCAGGGGAGGTGTGGCTAGGGCTGCATAAACAGAAACAAAGTTATTTAACTCCTAAATGGCAGTGAATTGGGCAGTGAAACCCTAGACCAGGCATAGGCAACCTTCAGCACTCCAGATGTTGTGGACTACATGCCCCATAATGCTCTTACCCCTCTAATGCTGGCAAAGCATCATAGGAGGTGTAGTTCAAAACATCTGGAGTGCCAAAGGTTGCCTATGCCTGCCCTAGACTATAGGTGACTATAGTGTTCCTTTAATTTAATTAAGGACTCTTCATCTTTTGCTCTCTGGGGTATGAGTGAGTTTTCTTGTTTTTTTGTCTACACAAATAATGCAGCTAAAAATTAGGATGCCTTAACCCCTTAAGGACACATGACAGACATATTCCGTCATGATTCCCTTTTATTCCAGAAGTTGTGTCCTTAATGGGTTAAAAAACATCAATGTATTTTTTTTCAATTTCTTTATTAAATATGTTGTATTTCCATGACGCCAAATAACTTTTAGTAGTATAATATAATACAAGGAGGGGATTACAATTTTAATGATAACATTTGCAAAATGTGGTATGCTGGGACAAATTTAACAGAAGACACTAAATTAAAACAGTTATACATGAAGACAGTTTGGCCTAATTCACATGGTGTTTTCAGTCTTTTCGGGTTGCTGATTTACCATAGATCAGTAAAAACACATTTCTATTCTGTTTCATCTCTTGAATACAGCAATAAACCAGAAATACTTTAGTCAGGTTTGTGGTTTGTTGTATAGCTAATTTAGACATTTAATTTTTACATACATCTAACATACAACCCAAAATACCAGGGGGACAAAACTCAGACCCCAAATTATAACTATTCTGACATATTTGGGTAAGTAGTGACATCACAGGAAGCAATCTGGTCATTACTCTGACAACATGAATAAAACATTGCTCAAAACCCACAGAGAAGTATATAATACTAATAATGATAATAATAATGCATATAAATGTATTTAACAAACTTTGTTTATGCTAGTTTAAAATGTATGTAGAATGATTAATTGATTTATGATTTATAATTATTTTATTGCACTCTTTTTGTTGTCCACAGTTTCCACATTTAGCATCTGGTTTCTAAATAAGTGTGCGAGGCGAAGATCACAGCCAGGAATGTGTTCGAGTACAAGCGAATTACTTGGCTCATTGTGTAACATATAAGCTTAGATTTTATAAAAATAAAAAATAATTATATTTAAATTTTTCAACAAAGTGGTGTAGTATATTGTGCTGCTTAATGTTACGCTTAATGACTTATTCTTTGAATAATACGCATATAAAGTAAATATAAACTTGCTGAGAAATTCTTGTGTTTTGTAGTATATTAATCAGGTGATGTTAAAAAATGTCTGTCTTATGGATATAAATACCGTAATTGCACCCTCCCGTAATTAAATATTACATTATGTAAGCATCATTATAGCAATATTGTAATGGTACTGTATTCATAAGAGCACATCTTCAATAGAGTACCAGTTGCACTTGCAACGTCATTAGCAGTTGGAGCACGGGATACAGTATCTACAATCCCTTCATTTTTAATTCTGAACAAAGCCAAGACGTATAGTTATGTGCATTTAACCCTTTATAAGGCTTCTACACATACAATAAACTTTGCTGGTATCAGACAAAGTGTAAACATCTCTAATGAGACATGAAGGGGTGTTTTATAAACCCCTACATACTTATTAACCCTAAATAGGGATGTAACACATACAAATCACCTTGCTGGTATCAGCTAAAAGGCAAATTTCTCTGATGAGACAGGAAGGGGTGCGGTCCCTACATAATTATAAACTGTTAAGACAAACATGGGGTGGCTGGCAGCAATGTAACATAGCTGTGTGATACAAATATCATATAGAAACACAAAGATAAAGCACTGTGCTTACAGCAGCAGTAGCTTAGTATCCAACAGCTCAAAATACATAGCAAAAACAAGAAAAGCCTCCATTTTGTTTAAATGTACATAGGGGTTTAAGCCAGACCGCAGGTAACGTTCTTTTTGTTTTTACTAATCACAGCATTAACTTTGTAATTAGAGGGTTTTTTGGGAAGTCACATTTCAAGTACTACAAATGTAGTACTTTCAGTTGTTTGGTGTAGCCACTTTAGAATGGCTAGCGTAAATCGGGACAGGCCAAGGTCAGGGGAATCCAGAAGTCAGAGCAGTCGGTAAAACAAGCCAATAGGTCTGTACAGGCTTAGTCAGGACACGCAGAGGTCAGAAATCCAGGGAAATCAAGCAAACAAACTGCCGAAGCACCATACAGAGTGATTTAATTCAAGTTCAGCTGTATGGTAGACTTTGAAACAGTCTGTTATGCAGAGGGCAGGTAGAGATGGGCAGGTTGGGCAATAATAACTGGAGTCCTTTTGGACTCCTTTCTTGTAGCAAACATGACACTTTCTTTGGGGAGCTTTTTTACGAGTGGTGGGGGGGGATTCGGGAAGGGAAGTGTTTGCCACAAAGTCTTTGGAGATCTCCTGATTCCAAAGTGGGATATGGGATAAAGGGCTTAGAATGAATTCTAGGAAAGGACAGGGCTTACCTATGACCTCTTTTTTACAGAGGACAAAGACATTGAAAACTGCAATCTGGCTCACGTAGATTGCAATTTTCTTGTACCAGGTCCTAGTTTTTTGGTTCACCAGGTAGGGCTTGCATTGGTCAGCCAAGTCTACTACCCCCATAAACTTGCTCTACAATGCACTTCTGCTTTTTCAGATGCTCAGTGCTACCTTTCACAGACACTGGCACTGTACTTTCGTTGTGCATTGTAGACAGCATGTATACATCCTTCCTATCTGTGAAGCGAAGGGCAAGCAACTCATCCTGGCAGAGAGCTGGAGAGAAATCTCTACTGCTTCTGCCTCTTTCCAGGGTTTGGAGGAAACCCCTGCGATTCTTCCTCACTGTGCCACAGGCTAGGGTTTCAAAGTAATATACATTTTTAAATAATGCTCTACTGGTATAGTAGTTGTCAACCCGTAGCCTGTATCCCTTATTTAACAAGGGAAGGATTAGATCCCAAACAATCTTGCCACTTGTGGTGGGTCAAGATGGCTATTCTTCCCCTGGTAAATGCAAAACGCCCATGTGTAACCAGTATAGGATTTGCATAATTTATCAAATTTAACACCATATCGAGACCGCTTAGATGGTATATATTGTTTAAAGAGTAGTCGACCTTTGAATTTCATTAGGGATTCGTCAATTGAAATATTTTTTTCAGGGGGCATAATTTTCTGACAGGAGTTGAATAAAAGGCCGAATTTTATAAAGCCTGTCAAACAGTGGGTCGTTTCTAGGGGGACACAGTGAGTTATCATTAAAATGAAGGAATTGCAGCAGTTGCAGGTAGCGATCCCTCTACATAACCTCAGTGAAAAAAGGGGTAGCCAGGATGCATTGCTTGCTCCAGTAGGACCTGATACTCTGCTTTTTAACTATACCCATCACTAGGGTTAAAGCCCCAAACCGCTTCATCTCTGCAACATCCGTGGGTCGCCACATATTCCTTCGACTAAAATGGGACCCCAGATGTGCAGAGAGATACTGCATGGCAAACAAATTCATTTGCTGAGCCATGAGCTCAAAATATATCGTCTGACATAAAGAGCTCAAAAAAACTAATGGGCTTGCAGTCGTACACTGTTACAGTGATACCAGGTGTAACAGTGAACTGCAATATTTCTGGGGCCATCATGTTTGGAGGCACCCAGTCTCCGTCTGGCATTGGGCATTCTGAGTGTCTTCTTGTAGGTGGTGGGGCTCAATGCAGAGTGTCGCTATCACTGCCTGCCAGAATGGTGACATGCCATTCTAGGGGGACAAATAAATTATCTAATAAAAACTAAGGGGGTAATTACTAAATTCCTACCTGCCTAACATCCACTACTCACCCTTAAAAACCCACAACAAATAAAATAAATGTACTGATCACAGTTTAGTCAGCTGCGATCAGTTCTGAAAGGGTTATTTACTTTTTATTAAAAATAACACAAAAAAAAGGTCAGCCTGATCAGAGTGTCCTCTGATCACAGTGATCACTGATACAGTGCAGCAGATATACTGTACAGTACAGTGATCACAGCAGCAGCGAGTTAAGGGAGATTTGGGTTGCTGCAACTGACACAAAGGGTCAAAAAAGGGCCCAAAATCTTTTTATATATATATATATATATACACACAAGTACAAAAGTACTAAAAGCCCTAATTGGCTGATCAGCTCGATTAAACTGAAAGTTAAATTAAATTTTTAACAAGTTTTACAGTTTTGCAAACTGTAACTGTCTCTGATCTCTACGCCTCTTTCCTTCAGATCAAAGTGAGGTTAAGGAGAGTGGTTGAGGGAATGTGTCAGCCAATGTTACAATTCATTGGCTGTCACTGCGATCACATGCTGCAATCTGCAGTGGGTGAATGGCAGCGGCCACTTGGGCGGCAAGAACGTTCTATGCCCCCCACCGGCGTTTAGAGCCAGCCCCTTAAGGATGGCATAGAACACCCGCCATCCTTAAGGGTTAACTCCTAAATGGCAGGTAATTAAGCAGGTATATTTCAGAGGCATGATCTATACACTAAAACTGCTTCATTGAGTTGTTTTGGTATTCCAGGCAGACCAGAAGCTCCCGATCGCTTTGTCCCTGCAGCTGTGATCACTCTAACAGGCTGTCAGAGTGAGCAACTGTGCTGCAGGGACTTCTGATCCGCCTCTCTGTGCTTCCGCGTTCAGTGTGAAGTGCAGGGAGACTGATCAGCAGTGATCTTCTCCCTGTGTGTAAAAAATAAAAAATAAAAAAAGTTACTTTAAAATCCCACCCCCACCGATTTTAAATAAAAATTAACCCCCTTCCTGCCAATTGGGGTTAAATTTATTTCATTAATGAAAATATTTTAAAACTATAAATTTAGCTAGCTGGGGTGGGTGAAAGTTAGTGGGGAATTTGGTGTCAGGCTAGCTAAGGGTTAACGTAAAAAAAGTTTTTTATTAAAATAAAAAAAAATCCCACCCCCCTTTACCCAGTCCTAATAAAAAATTAACCCCTTACCTGCCAGTCGATCACTGCCTACAGTGAGTAAAATACAGATCACAGTATTTTACTGTGATCTGATTTTTTTTTTTTTTTTTACCCCTGAAGATTAACTTATTTTTTAACCCTCTTGGGTTCAATTTATTTCATTAAATTAAATATTTTGCTAGCTGGGGTACGTGGGAGTTATGGGAAATTGGGGAATTTACTGTAAGTGCTGCTTACTGCTAGTTAGGGGTTAACAGTAAAAGAAAGTTTATACAAATTTTAAAAATGTAAAAAGTTTTAAGAAAGTTTAAAAGTAAAAAAAAAAGCAATAAATAAAAAAAAGTTTTCAAATAAGGTTTAAAATGTATAGTTAAAAAAAGTAAAAGAATACATTAAAGCGGCACTGTCATGCCGAACTTACCATTCTTAAATCGATTCCTCATTTCTCCCTCTGTCAGGATCTGTTCTTCATTTCATCCTGTCTGCTCTAGTTTTCTTTAAAACATAAAAGACAAAGTAGGGACTCCTTTGTCTTATGGAGGTTTCCTACAACTAAACAGCTATGACCAGTGGAGGAGCAAAGTGTGCTTCATTTCCAGTGGTCAGAGCAATTTTCCCACAATTCTCACCTTTGATCCGTGATCTCGCGATGCTTCCTGTCAGTATTCCCGAAAGTCCTGTCACTTAGACAGAACACCAGCAAAACTACTACATAGGCCCATCATATCCATCTATGAAAATTCTAACTATAGAAACTGAAATAGCCTTCTCTCTTATATGGCATTGTTGCTTCACATAATAGTGCCAAATGGCATACAATGGAGGTATCGTTATAATCAGCAGACGTAGCTAAAAACAATATGGGGTTCTGTGCAGAAATAGCACACACCTGCTTTACGAAATACAACAAAAACCTTGGTATAAGTATATATGCCATAATAGAGGGAAAAAAAACCCAACAATTTTACTCGAATATTTAGCACAGATTGGCGGTGAAATGGCTACGTAAAAAGTGTCAAACTAACCTTAGGTAAATAGCCGGTGATGTCTACTTTATATAAATATATACTTTTGTGTGGCAATTTTGTTTTCTGTGATGGCTACTAAACCTACAAGACAAATATACCAAATTCTAAAATTGTTTATTTTAGTCCTTTTATTGTGACCTGTAACTTTCAAAATAAACTGAAATCCTATACATATTATGTACTCTATAAATCATGACATAAATGAATTTATTATGAATTACTTTTTCTAAGCTGGACATATTATGCAGACGCTATTATTGCCAAAACTGGAAAAAAAAACAATGTGTCTTTTTCCCATTTGTTTTATAATTAATGAGAATTTATCTATGTATATGTGACATCAAATTAAAGCCCTTTTTGCCCTCTAAAAACAGCATATAATATGTGTTGGTGCAATAAATGACAGAGATGCAAATTGTGTTTGAACACAAACCGCAAAAAAGGCTTGTTTCCTTGAGGGTAAGTCCAGTTTTTGAAGCTGCGTCCTTAAGGGGTGAATACATATATGACACAATTTTTTAAAAACAGTTTAAGATACATTTTAAACAAGGTAATTTAGCTTGTGTTTAAAATATTTTGAAGTTTGTGCACTCCGTAATTTTCTGCACAATTTATACACATATGATAAAGATTTTAAAACATAGTGTGTAATAGCAATAGTGAAGAGATTGTGCTGTGAGATACAAATATAATGAATATGAATTTTGTAGGGATCTTCAACTTCTTTGGCCTGTATATTTCCTGGTGCTGGAAAACCTCTGGTGCTTATACACAAGGGTCAGGAGTTTTCCCAACTCACTAAATACTTTGACAATCAACTCCAAATTAATGGGCAGGATAGGGTAGCCCCATTCTTCAAACTTCCTAAACCCAACAGTCAGGTGTCCACAGACCACTTGCCTACGGTATTAATAGCCCACCTGACTATTTCTGTTGTACTCGTATCCCTTGTAATTTAAAGTGGGAAGATCAATGATAATATTTAAATTTAAAAAAAACTTCATAAAATAATTTTATATTTCAAGGACATTTGAAGTATCCAAACCACTACGTTTTAATGTAGAGCTTTTGGTCCATAGACACTGTCTCTTTACTAAGACAGTGTATAACAATGCTATTTCCCGAGAAATGTCAGCATTTAGATTTGTCTAAGACAACCACTAGAAACACTTCCTCCCAAAAGACCTTCAATATTCAAATGTCTTCACATTTGGCATCATCATGCACAACATGATGGCACTGAACGTTGCTAATACGTCAGACTGGTTGACGGTGGCAGCTCCTGTTCACTCGCAGTTTGTCCGCAATGGAGCAGAGATCATCAGTACTGGGAGGAGTATTCGCTGCAAGCAGACTTTCCCAGATCTGGACTAAAGTTAAAGGATCACTATAGGGTCAGGAACACAAACATGTATTCCTGACCCTATAGTGTTAAAACCACCATCTAGCCCCCCTGGGCCCCTCATGCTTCCATAAATCTAGCAAAATCTTACTGTATTCAAGCCTGAAGCTGTAGATATGCATGATGTTTGCCTAAAAAAAAAAACAAGCAGTCTGCTGACATCATCAGAAGTGGTGGCCTGATCCAATTACAATGCTTCCCCATAGGATTGGCTGAGGCTGACAAAGAGGCAGATCAGGGGCAGAGCCAGCATGATTCAAACACAGTCCTGGCCAATCAGCATCTCCTCATAGAGATGAATTGAATCAATGAATCTCTATGAGGAAAGTTCAGTGTCTGCATGCAGAGGGAGGAGACACTGAATGTTTGGATGCATTTTAGGCAGCCATGACACAGGAAGGATCTCTAACAGCTATCTAAGGAGTGGCCAGTGAAGTTATCACTAGGCTGTAATGTAAACACTGCATTTTCTCTGAAAAGACAGTATTTACAGCAAAAAGCCTGAAGGTAATGATTCTACTCACCAGAACAAATACAATAAGCTGTAGTTGTTCTGGTAACTATAGTGTCCCTTTAAATATAAAGGCTTTTTAAAATGTATTTATTTTTGTTTTAACAAAAAATAAAATAAAAATGGTTTTCAATTGTTGCTTTTTGCTGCAGTACTTTAAATGTTAATTTAGAGACAGGTGGGAATTTCTTCTACACCAAAGATTTTTATGCATGCATAAGATGCTTGGCTTTTTAAGCGGTCTGATGTGTCAGAGAATAACATGACATATAAAGCAAAATCCACAGACTTGTTATTTGAAGTTTTTCTTCTGCTGAAAATATCACATCCCCAATTCTGGTGCCCTTTTTCAACCGAATTATCTATTCAGGTAACATATATACATTTCTGAATGTCAATCATTTTTTAGAAAAAGCAAGGAGATGACCTGTGCAAAAAGGTTAATGTCATCTGGAAAAAGTGATGTCCAGACTAATAGCCTAAACGTGGGTAGGCCATACCTTAGAAATAGAACAGAGCTGACCTAAATATAATTTCCCCCTTCCTGGTGAATTTTGCACCACATCTCCAGAAAGAATATATGAAATCCAGAACCACTGGGTGGAATGTAGCAAGTTCTCAGATATACAAAAAATTTAATTACAAAGATCATTCTAAAATCGCTTAGAAACTGTTAAACATGCAAAGCAAATCGTATATTAATTTCCATACAATTTCTTATGCTTTACAGATTAATTGTATAAAATGTGTGTGTGGGGGAAGAGAGGGGATTTAACAAAGATCCACTTTGAGTGACTGATAAACTAAAATGTAAGGAACAATACTCAAAGGCCTCAATGTAATTCTTTTGGATAAGCTTTCCAAATGCCCCTAAATCTGTTGGAAAAACATTTCAAATGATTTATCTACATAAGCCACCAATAATGACTAAATAATTTTAAAAGTTTTTCTAGCAGAGTACGATAATTTGAAAAGCTTATCCAAAAGAATTAAATCGAGGCCAAAATTAGATATACAGATAAAACATATCAAACTTGAATATTAACAGCAGGATAATGAGAAATTGATATGGTAAGTATAGTTTTGGTTGCTTTTAAACAAGGAATTTTTTTAATACTACAGCATGCCTGCCATAGATGTTAACTGGGGAGTTTTAGAACACAGGCAGAAATAAGCAAAATAAACATGAACAACCAGCTGGACAAGAAACAACAGTTACCGGAGGCCAAGGCAGTGGAGTCCATACACTAAACCCTTGACACCAACTCCTTCAATTTATGTCACCACCGACTCCGGCTCCTTATAATTATATTACAATTTACTGTATATGCTGTTGTACAAGTCATCATTTTAACAAAGAAAAATATCCCGACAAAAGAAGGACCAATTAATACGCTGAACATAAATTTGATAGTACATGGCTGAGATGAAAATAAGACTAACACACATGCTTTCAACCTTCTATCTTTTTATCACTTCTAAATTTTCTAAAGAAATTTAATTTTTGTAGTTCTTACCATCACGGTTATCACTCAACTAAGTAATTTAGGAGTCATTATTTATGCTTTATCCACAAATTTCTGGACAACTAGCAGAAAACTGCTTCCAGTATCATATTCATATGTTTACACAGCTGACTGGCTGGAGACATACACATGCGCCATTTATGGGCAAAAAATAAACATGTTGATGTTTGTTAACATTTAAACTCTGACCAGCTTATTAATCATATAATAATATAATATAACCTTTGATATACAAGGATACAATAAAACATTTCTAATCTTATTTGAAACAGGACTGTTTGTGGACTTCTGTCCTTGACCTGGAGCTGGCCAGTCCGGTCCTCGCTGGACCCCAAGGAAGCCATCCTTACAAATAATACAAGCTTTCTACACACACACAGTCCCCACAAACACCATTGACAATCGACATGCATGCACACAACCCCACAAACAGTCTCACATGCAATAGCACAAGCTATACACATACACCAAACACACAAAGTGACATATTTCCACAATTTCACAAGTAGCCCCCAAACACAGCCCACATGTATAGGTATCATACACAATAACACAAACTACTCATGAATATATACAGCCCACATACACACAAAGGCATTGCTACAAAACAACAGCAGCACCCATAAATAACAGAATACAGTAACATACACACCTCAGTTTAAAAAAAATAAGAACGGCACGCCAAGGAACTTCAAGGTTTTGTTTTGGCACAGTACTTTTAAAAGGTTGCCTATCCATGACCTACGGCCACAATTTGCACATTTTCTGGGGGGTTGACTTGTCACAAAAATGCAGGCCTAAACATGTATTACACCTCTAATTTTTGAGGGCTCAAGTTATATGATGGATCAATGTATACCAGCATATACGGTACATTAATCTATGACTCAACAATTGCTTTCAACTACACTACTCCCACATAACAGCACTGCCAGAGGCAGAACCTTCCAGCTCTGAATTTCTTTTTTCTGAAGTTTTATATGAATCTCATCCTTAAAGTAATTTAAGTTGTCACTGAAGACCTACACCCTACTAAGTAGCTTCTAAATTGTAACTGCTCAGTGTGACATTATGATTAAATAAAACAAGAGGCTCAGATCCAAGTGACAGCGTATTTTACTGCATATGCTCCTTTAAGGTTATCTTTAAAATGCACATTAGTCGTTTTAGTCACTTGGACGAGTAGAATTTTTTTTAAAAAATGTCCATAACCATGTTGAAACATACCTGGGTGCCCCAGGTACCCACGGTTTAGTCCTTTTCTACATTAATATCTATTCTGCCCTAGTTGGGAAATAATTCATTTACTGGATCATGTACATCTCATTACTCGTTATGTTACACGCAACTTACCATTAAAGTTAAAACTGTAAATATTTTCTCCCTCTCTTTATCACATCACTAATACTCAGCACATATGTCAATATCAGCAACTGAATGCAGGGGGAAGGCATGAGAGCCATGCACTGTAGTGGTCATGGTTACTCCTCTAACATATTAGAATACATTGGACAGGTTGACATATGCCACTGAGTTTTAATACCAACACTAGCAATTAGACCATAGAGGAAAACCGACCTGCTCAAGAAAGTGTTTGGGTCAAATAGGACTGATTGCACTTAAAGTAATAAATCATCTATCGTTCAAAGTTTATGATCAGTTACATACATCTTTATTTGCGCTTATGACAAATCATTAAATGTAAGGATGAGAAATAAAAATCACCAGTGAATTTACAAATATAAGGCACCTTTATTCACCAATGAAACTTACAGAATACAAAGGAAGAGCAGACTCACATCGGTAATATTGCTAATATTGTAAGCTACCCTTTCCTATTCTATGGCATTAGGCCAAAATATAACTGCAATGTAACAAACTGTTCAAAACATTAAACTTATCAAAGATGCCAATTTTTTACAACAGCAAATACAGATATGTTTTTCCCAGGCAAAGGGAAACGAACAGGTTGCCCCTCCAATTTGTTGGTAAACTGGAGCTCCCATGAAACAATTGGTTACTCTGATCTACATTGATTAAAATGTGCAAATTCTTCTCTGCTTAATAATATAATACATACCCTTAAATACATTGTTTAGATTGTAATCATACAGGCTTTTCTGCATGGCATGTGTCACACAGCATAAACTTTAAAAGGTGACACTAACGTGAGTCGTTAGTGTTAATGACATCTAATTGTTTCAGAAAATTAATTTTACTTTCTAATTGGTCTGTATTTGTTGTTGAGGGCTTTAACCAATTAAATAGGCACACTTTATTCCACTTGAAATATAGAATATGG